TTATTTAAAATTAAATTAATTAATAATTTAATATATAATATACGAAAAAGATTTGAAAATTTTATTAAATTATTTAAGAATTTTATTAATTTTGAATTAGATAATTTTTATATTTTTTTTCAAAATAATAAAAATAAATAATTTATCAAATGAATAAGATACAAAACATTCTGTAAATATATGTAAAAGTACCATAACGAGTGTTGTCAAACGAAATTATAAATTGAATGGAGTTTATGTGGGAGCACTTTGAAAATCAGGGGCTGGAAATTGATGTTCCCTAAAATTGCAGAGCAGGGTGGTTGTTAACTCATGTCCTTGATTGACAGTAAGGCAGCAAATTTGCTACTTATGGAAAGAACTTTAGGAAAAACTGCCATGTGTTCTGAGTTTTCAGTCTTTGATTTCTATTTTGTTGGCCGACAAATTTGAAAAGAGAGACTTTTGCCTCCTGCACCATCAATGTGGTCTGCATCAGTTGAAGACATCCAGCAATGCTTGCTGACCATCATTTTCATGTTCATATTGCACTAACTCTGTTTTCTGTCAAACAAAATATCCATTCCATCCAATGCAATCCCTTTTCCCATTATGAATTTAAGTTACTTGTTTAAAAGAATATCAACAAGTTATTTATTAAACTCAACTACACTTGATCTTAGCCAAGGCCTGTGGTAAAATTAGTGCTTGTGATAGACATGTTCTTGGTTCAAACCCAAAAGAAGTTGTACTCCCTTACCCCCACCTTTAATGTATTAATTGGCTTTGTTTCTTTTCCTTTTTTAGAAAAAAAGTTGTTTATTTAAACTCAAAGTTTTTTGGCAGAAGAAAAACCTCAAGTTTAAATGTGTTAATAAGTAAATGCCATTCTATAAATCATTTTGACCTTAAGAAATTTAATTCTCTTAAATATATTAGGTTGATGTAGAAATACCTCTTTAAAATGATTTGAAAAAGAGTAATTTCTATAAACTTGTAAGTTCATTTAAAAACATCCTAACAATAAAAAAATAAAGCTATTTATTTAAAAGGAGCAGCTATTTCAACTCTATTATTTATTGTGGATGTTTAGATCCTGTCTCACGAAAATCAAAATTTTTTAATAAGTAACATAATAAAGAATAATCTTTCTTTTTCCAAACCTCTTCTTATCTCTCATCTAGAAATTGAAATTGAAAAGCTTCAAAATAGAGACTAAAGCTCTTAATTTATTAAATATCTGTAAGGGGGCTTGTGGAGTCACATACTTTTAAATAAATTTCATGAAAAGTATGTTGGAAATAGAATAGCACTATCTTATCTAAAATTAAGAATTCTCATTCCCTTGGTTTTTCACTTACCTCTATTTTGGTTAGAGACTAATTTTATTGTAAAAGTTTTTACTAAAAAAGCAATTTAAAAAGTATTGTACATAAAATTAAAAGTATTGTCTAAAAAATTGATAAATTTTATAACAAAGTTAAAATTTTATTGGATTGTTAATTTTTTATATTTAATAAAAAATTGTTGTTCTTTTTTTATTTAGTAAAATATTAATATAAGAAAAATTAATAAAAAAATTGTAAAGTAAGTCTCACGTAAAAAAAATTAAAAGAAACTATTTTTCTTTAAAACATGTAAAAAGATTAAAGAATTGTACAAAGGAAATAAATATTTAAATGTTATTTATACCATCCTTTTTATTATAATATAAAAATATAGAAATATATAAATAACCTTATTATAATTTCAAAAAATTTAAGAAAAATGTTTTCCCAAAAAACAAGGCCAAAAGGTATGATGGCTTTGAGAATATGGACTTTAAGCCTTTTCTAGTTTTCTTTCCCTTTGTTTAGGTTTTTTTATTTTTTATTTTATGGACAATTTGGTATCCAGAAATTCATTGAGTCACCGTGTAATTCAGATTCAAGCCGGGCAGAACCCAATGGGTGGCAAAACTTTCCCTCATAAGTTTTAATGGAGCTGCATTCTCAGGACTTGAAATCAGAACTTCTGATTAAGTTGACAGAGTTCCCCACCATCTTATTCACCCATTTGCGGGTTTTAAGTTTCTTAGTGGTTAGGTTTCCCTATGTACTTTGAAAAAAGAAACCCTGGTACGTTTGAATGTTCAAGCATTTTGACAGTACTTTTCATATTAATTAATGAAATTATAAATGCATTACCTTTTTTAAAAAAAAGAAAAAAACTATGTTTATTGTGTTAAAAGTTTTAGGTTAAATACTCTTTTTGGCTCCTTTATTATTAAAAAAGTTTTTTTTTTTGTTCCTGTACTAAAAAAATCTCTTTTTTAGTTCATAAAATTTAAAATTTGACCATTTTTTAGTCTCTCTGTTAAATTTTTATTGATTTGTCACGTTAATTAATGGAATCACTTAATTTTTTTTATATAAATGATATTATAAATGATGTGAAAATTATGTAAATAAAATTATAAATCCATGTAAGTATTTCATCTAAATATTTTCAATCAAATGTACAAATTAAAAATTTTACTTTTTAATTCATTAATAAAATGAATTTAAATAGAATTAACTTTAATTACTTCATCTTCTTCTTTCTCCTCATCCTTATTCTCCTCCTTGTCTTCACCCTAGGCATCATCATGTCTTGTGGAACCTAGTTTCTAGGCTTCGACCCTCTTTTCTTCTTCTTCTTTTTCTTCTTCTTCTTCTTTTTCTTCTTCTTCTTTTTTTTTTTTTCATCATTTTGAATGTATCTATCTTCCATAAAGGAGCCAAATGAAACCAAATGAAACCAAAGTTTCATGTTCGGTTTTGAATTAGAAAAGTTAAGTTTTGGGTTCATCACGAAACCTAAATCGTGTTCAATATTTGATTTTGAAATTGTAGGTGATAGATTCATGTTATTGTGTTCATGTTGCTATGAATTTCATA